GGCGCGCTGCGCTCGGCGGCGGGTCTGCAACCTGGGCACTCGCTGCAGAGCCCTTTCAGAAGGCGGCGGGTGCGATGGAAGCTGAAACAGGATTTTACGGAACGAAATTGGCACTGCTCAAGCTGTGGATCAGGCTTCGAGCTGACTTTTGCATTTCGGGAAACTCTAACAAAGTTTGTAAGACGAAAAACACAGTAAAGAGAAATATAATTGGAGGATGCTAACAACATCCTTCCTTCCGCACGCATATACTAACAAATTAAAACCCACAAGCCTCGATCGAGGTCGCGGGTTTGTACAGAAGTAAAAGGACAAGCACAGACCCCCACGCTCTTACCCCGGTCGCCTGAAGATGTTGCCTGAACTCATCCATCGTCGTGTTTGAGATGCTCATGTCCCTGAACATTCCTTCCAGTTTAGATGTGAACTGACATCCACATTCAGTCTAAAATACACAAAATAACCTGTTGTGCCAGCACTATGAAAACAGAGCTTCTGATACGTGAACTGCAAGACTAAGTTAGTTTATAAATCTCATTAAAATGGTATTTCTGTACATTTGGTTACTGGGATTCCCATTTGTATTACCTTCAGAACTTAAAAAGTTTCATATTTCATATAAGGATCTAACTCTACACATATCAAAACTTGCCTTCCTTCTCTTCACTCCCTTATTGTATTTTTGGTTTCTTTTTAGCTTCCTATCTCATCTTAAAAAAAAAATATTCTGTGAAAGCTTATCAGACCAAGGCATATACTTTCTTTCACCTGCTTTGTAGCATGATACTGTAAAGGGAAATAAAAATCTTTATTTGTATCAGAAAAAAAACCCCTGTCGTCCTAGAGTGTACAATTTTGAAGGCTTACTGCAGATTACCAAGTGAGATTACTCAACCTTTTGAGAAATCAGGGACATTGTGCACGTGTATCTATATATGCCTAACACATGCATTTCAGTTGCACATCCAGGACTTTGTGCCTATTTCTAACACATACTTTGACATATGTGGTAAAGGCAAGCACGTTAGCTTCAGCATCCTAATCACTGCGCAAAGACATGAGAAAGAGGGCAGTTCAGGTCCACTGATTGATCTTGCGAATGTATGCCCTGTGCCTTCTAAATCACCAGGCTAGAGGAGGTGGGGAGGAAATCGGGAAGGAATTAATACCGATAATTTGGAATTAATACTGATGATTTGGAGGCATCTGATGCAAACAGGCTTCGCTCACTGATAGAATATGAAGGTCAAAAATAAGGATCAGTAAAGTTCGATTTCAGGATCAAATCACTCTGGTTCGGAAGTTCCCGAGCCATTTATCACGCCACTTAGGAAGAAGCTGCCTTAGAAATTGCTTCAAGGACTGCTCACCTTAGGCTTTACTTTCTTCTTCATCTCTTGGCCTATTTAATCAGTAAATTGAACCAACTAAAGAAAACATGTTTCCAGACACTGATATGAAGATTTTTTTTTTCCCAATCTATCTCAAACTACTTAATCAAAAAGGAATTGAGCATTATCACCAGTCTGCAGATGGAGGCAACTAAAAAACGACGACGCATGCAATAAAAAAATTCTACTATGAATAACAGAAAAATCTAGGATAACAGTCTTATCTTTAAATCCAGTCACTAGATAATAGGAGTTGTCTTCTTATTTGGAAAGTCTTAACAAATTGGGGGGGGGAGTTTTGTTTTCTAGATTGCTCTCTCATCACAGGTGCTTTCCAGTATTTCCTTCCTTTTATTTCCACAAAATTATTCACAAAAGCCTTTCATATTTTCTGTTGGGGCTTTAAAAGCAAATCTGTATTTAATAGCAATCAAGACTTATGTTATCTATATATCCCTTATGTAAAACCAAAAGAAACCATATTTCTGAAAAAAATGAAGTAAAAAGTATACAGATACTGTCTTACCTTTAATTTAGATATCATATTTTTCTCAGAGTCATCTGAAACACTCTTGTTTGTGAGAAGTCGTCTTGCCAAGTGCTGCTTGTAATAGCGTTCAAAAACATCTTTCTCTTGCATAAACCTAAATAAAACCATTGCCTTATCCAATATAGTTTCTACTTCTTGCTCTGTTAGCTGTAAAAGAAATAATTTGCTGGTTTTAACCTTCCGGCACAAGTGTCTTATACAACCTAAATACTTGAAGTAATTCACAGCAAGCATATGGTCTAACAGTAGCCTATAAAGAAGCCAGCAAAACTGGTCCAACATGTGAACGATAGAGCCAAAAGAACAGCGCACAAACTCAATAGAGCGGAGAAAGAAATAGATCTAAAATGGAGGAAAAAGCAATTGTGAGGGAGAAGGGAGACGATGGATAGGTAGAATGCCTGGTAAATGCAGTAAAAGTGCCTGGATACGTTTTTAAGTAGTTTTAAAAAAGCACAGATGGAAAACAGTATCAGGAATATAAAAAGTTAGCTTGGAATGAAAGCTTTTAAATGTTAAGACTCATTTTGCAAAGCCTGTCTAGTGCCACAACAAATAAAATGATTACTTATTTTATAAATAAATAGAATTTACTATTTGATTCCCAAAGCATAAGATGCATGCAATAATATTCAGCTTTATTCAGAGCCACTGAAGCCTCAGCTGAACCATCCTGTCCAGTTCCGGGTGCTGTACCTCAAAAAATTTCATGAAAGAAGCTATGAGGTAAGACTGAAGGAAACCGTTTGTACTTAAGCTAGAAGAGACAGATGTGGTAGTAGTCCTCCATTATGTAAAAGCAGTAAAAAGAAGCAAACTGTTTCCCCTACCCAAGTGACAATATTCAAAAGAAATCACTAGATATTGAGAATAACTGCCAAACTATGAAGATATTTAAGGAACTGATATTTCAGGTTTCAAAGGAAGGCAGCTGCAGAATCTACTACAACCTAATTTTTTTTTTTTTTGAGGAGGTATCTGCCAGAAGTAATCCAGGTATACTGCTTCAGAGATGGGGGACAAGCCACAGAACATCTTGAGATCTCCTTGTGCCTTAAATTTCTGTAAGTTTAGATCTAAAGTGTTACAAGCTCAGATGAGTTACATATACTTTTTTTTTTTTAAAGGCAGTATTGCCATTTATCTTAATATAAAAATCGTTCTTGGAAAAAGCAGCTTAGTTTAATCTGATCCAAGTTAACAGAGAGAATGACCTTTTAATTTAATTTATACTTACTCCCTTGACTCCTTTTTTCAGCTTATCGTCAATAAATAATGAGAGGTACTCTGGAGACCTAGAGTTGAGGTTGAGGAAGTACTCAAAGTCACCCGCTATAGTCTGTTTGAAGAGTCGATCATTATTGAAAGATTCTTGAAGAAAGCGGTCAAACCTACTCTTCAAATCCAGTAAACCCTTTTAAAAAAAAAAAGTATAAACATTTTTATTGATTTGAAGTTGCAAGCTGTAAAACAGTAATAACAGACGAAGTTGTAGTGAAGACCATGTCTACAGTCAGAGATTCTGCAAAGCTCTCTCTATGTTTGGCATTGTTAGAAAGTATCTGAAATTTCATTTCCATTTTTAAATACCTACAGCTGCCATAAATCTCTTATGGAAGCAATTTTCAGCTAAACTGGCTAAAATATTGGTTCCAAAAACTGGTGCAGTTTGCTGCAACAGGCTACTCAAAGATTAAGAAAGTTTTTTAATCACCCTTGTTAAACAGGCTGATTTACCGTATTTTTAAATCCACAATTTAAAGGAGGTATTTGTTGTACTTGTTAAGACTTGTCAACGTTATTTGAAATTGAAAAAGTCACTATCATAAATACAGGATACGGGAAAGCACCCGCTAACTGCATCCCTAGAGCTACTAAGCAAGTTTGAGGAGAAAACACACCGCAACGACAGGCCTAATCTTGTTAGGTTTTCCCCCCCTCTTAATTTCAATCCAGGGACATGTTCTGCATTATTTAGTCGCATGTTTCTTGCTGATCTTTAAGAGTCACTGTGAACATATGAAAGTTAGAAACAAGAAATAGCTCTCCAGTTATCACAGGGTGAAGTTCACAGGTCTGAACTGAACCACTTCCCCCGAGCTAAACCATTGGATTCTTGACATCATTTTTAGGGTCTGCACCATCTTCACCCAGAGCTAAAACAACTGGGTGCAGAAGGGGGAAGCATCTTAAAATCACCTGAGCACCTTGCTAAGTATATGTGATGCACACAGGGTTTAGACATAACTAACACAGCATTCAGGGAGGGGGAGAGGAGGAATTTGACTTAAATTTATCATGTATAACTACTGCCCACAAACTGTTCAGGTTAAATGACCTTGAAGTCCTAGGTTTCTTAAGAAACTATTTATATGTGGTTACTTAAAGAAGCCATTCAAGAATTACTCAAGGAAGTAGCAATGTTTCTTAGGAAGTCACCATCTCACTTAAAGGAATGGTCTTTAGACAGGCCAATTAATGCGTATTAGAAATTTTAAATTCAAAGTAAATCCCACTATCTCTCTGTTTACCAAGGTTAACTTATGCCTCCTCTCCAGGAGTACACCATCTGAACAACCTGGTGTTAAACAGGAGAAACTGTTAGTACCTTAAATTACAACAGCATTTCAACATCCCTTCAAATTATTATAAGAAGTTTTAAATCTAATCCCTTGGCAATGCTTTTGCAATCATCTCACCAATTATGCTCAGGGTTTGGTGATGTCATGTTGCAGAAGCAGTGCTGGACTATGATGAAGTTTTTTTCTTGATGGTATAATGTAGCTTCTTTGTCTGTCTTCTTACTGCTATTTAAGTCCTTGAAAGATTCGGATGAACATGGCTGAGGTGAGAAGAGTGAGGTGGTTTCTCAATTCACAGGCATTTTTCTCTTCTTCCATCGTGTCAATGGAAGTGGAGGATAAACCTGTTTGGGGGTTTAGCAGTAATCAAATATCAATCCCTTCCCTAGGACACCTTCATGAGATGGTTGGGGTACATCCTAACGGGCTGAGGATAAGCTCTGCCAAAGCACATGCAGTATGGCTGTAAGTCTTCTTCAGCTTCATTATGCTATTTGCCTTTGTAGCAGGAGACATCGATAGCAACTTTATAATTAAGTTTTTAATTCTTTCTCAGTTAATTTTTTTACTACACCCCTTTAGGTCCATCAGGATTTAAAAGGAGTGAAAATTACTTCAAAGTAATCCAGACACTTGTTTTCCACATCACTTGCCCCCCCTCTTTTTTTTTTTTTTAAATCATACCACCAAAAAAAACCGCAACATTGTTAGACATCAAACGTAATAAATTTCAAAGGGCATTTTCTCTTCTTTTTAACAGTCCTTGGGAGAGGTGATTCTTGTCCAAGCTTGGTAAGAAGTTTGCTTCGGCATTGCCGGAAAAATCAATAATCCAATCAAAAATGTGTTTATACTCAAATGGCTTCTTATAATAGTAACCAGTTCTAGCAAAGTTATTGATTTCAAACAAAACAGCAGAGATGATAATAGACATACAGCATTACATGTTTCTCATAAAGACCAGACACAAGGACTTCAACTACACATTTAAAAAAAAAACCCAACGTTTAATAAATACACATGTCAACATTAAGTATAAAACATCTTCCAGCTATAAAAACATTTCCTTAAAGTTCAATGAACTCTAAAGACTTTATGTGCAAATTTAAAACCACCTTTTCAGAAACAATGGGAGAGAAAAGATGACAAACACCCCTGAAGCATATTTTGTGATCCTGACAAATTAACGGTACACATCACTTCTTAGTGAGAGATGGAGAACAAGAACGAACCCTTGTGTCTTCTAACATGCAGAAGTGTTCTGTTTCTCAGGGAGACCGAGAACGAAGGAAGTATTTTGTTATGATCTATATCACCTCTCAGTCACAGTTAATCTTGCCGTGGAATACTGTCATGTGATTTTTGTCTCAATAAACATCGATAGCTAACATTACATAAAATTAAACAAAATAGACTCTATAAAGCTATTTGCCAGCAGATGTACAACTCACTCTGGAGGCAAATACCATTCAGAATAATAAAAAAAATTCCCAGCAGTTACATAATTAGTCTGAATATGTTGTTTAATAAAAGCAGCTACCGAAACCACAAAACCCGAGCATGTACTTTCCAAGCAACTTCGGTAAAAGAAGAGTCCTAAACACGTCAGAAAATTCAGAAAATGTACATTTTAAACAAAATTATACATGTAGCTCATTAAATAATAATCCCTTCTGAATCAATATTAAGGTTTACCTTATCAATCATGTAGTTAACTGCTACTCTGGGGAGCGTGGGAAAGATGGAAGAAAAGAAAGTTAAAATATTTAACTACCTGAATGTAGTCAACTGGATTCTTTCCTTCTCCCTCTTCAGACACTAGTGCTTTGCCTTGCTCTCTCAGGTATGAGCTCATGCACTCGCACATTGTCTTCAGACCATTTGGCACACGGCTAAACAACTTGTACATGCAAGCAAGGTCTGGAAACAAGAATGAGATATTATGCAGGACACCCTCTGTCTGATAACACTTCTGTAACTCATTCGTTTCATAGCAAAAGACGACAGTGAAAGTTCAGCCACCTGAGCCACAAAAAGCATCCCGTTCACAGCTCGGGCACTGGAATCTTGTGACGTCTCCTTTCCTTTACCCCTGACAACACGCTGACCACAGCAGCCACAAAATTAAAAGCAAAGGTTGTATTCAATTATTCCAGGTTGTCTATAGCATGGAATCTGCTATTGCTGATCCCCAGGCCAGCAAAAAGTTGATGCTTGCGCTAAAGGATGGTGCTCTTAAAGCTTCAGTAAGATTATGTTTTCCAGTGGCATTTAAGAACATAGCTTCCAAGATCACCATCCCAAAAATCAAATACTGTATTAAAAGTTATAAGAAAATCTAGGTTAAAGCAAATAGGACAACACTAATGAGATGCTTGTTTCTGTACTAAAAGCAAAAGCTGGTAAAAATTGGAGTTTAATTCGTATTTGTCTTAAAGTCAGCCACATAATTTTACACTGCTTTGTTTCATCCATCCAAAATCATGAGAAGTGGCTTAGCTTAAACACGGCTTTCCAAAAGAGCAATCCATCCTTGTACGTTTATATGAAATCTTATCTTCACAATGCAGCAAGTATTTTCTCTCTAGTATTTAACTAAATCAAACCAAGGCCTATGAAAGTTAAACTAATTCCTCTATCTTATGAACACCCTTCAATATCATTATACCCTCAGCCTGAAGGCTATCTTAACTGGGTATTAAAGAAAAAAGGTGAAGTATAGTATCATCACTTTCATTTAAATACAGTAATTCTCTTTTCTTACAGCTAAGAAATTTGCTAACTTTGTCACTCTATCACCTAGTAACCGTGAAGCTGCTTTAATGAACAAAGGCCATTAATCTAAGCAGCGTGTTCCCCACGCTCACAGCTTTAGCGTGAGCACCGATTTCTAAATATAGATACTACAATCACTCTCTTCATTATGCTGCTTTAGAAACTTATGTTCTATCTCTTTCCACAGTAACTTTCATTCAGTCATTCTGTCCCACATTAACCTCTATCAGGGAAAACCAAATCAAGCGAAGCCCTTCTTTCTCAACCACTTCGATAAGCTGCTGCTTATCCTTTAAAAAACAGCCAACTTTTTTCCTGCAACAAAGCCCTCTCCCCAAGAATTGGTCCTGCAATACTTCTATTTAATAGTCATTTACACTAGCACTTTTTAAATAACTGCCTGTGGGCCAAAAAACTTCGATGCATTTTGACAGCTACATACTAGAGGAATGAAAATAATAAAAAGGCTCATGGAAAACAGGTGACAAAGACGACCACAATAGAGTTGTACTCTTCTTAAGGGATACTCGGCTTACCAAAAAAGTACCCGTATCTGGTACTAAATAGAAACGAGTTATATGTATGGGCTCTGTTTTAAATGACCTCTAAAAGTAGTATTATCAGATGTTTGCAAGACAGAGCCACCAAAGTGTTTTTACAATTACAGAGGAACACAAACGTTAAGCTCCACTTATCCTATGTTTAAAAACAATAAGCAGTATCGTAAGCATTTCTGTCTCCCAGATGATGCAGTCTTACCTTCTGTCTTCCCATTTTTCAGCATATGAACTAGCCCAGAGTTTTCCATTTCCACTATAGTTTTCATATGCTTGGAAATAAGCTCCCTCTCAACAACTTTCACAATTGGTTCTTCTGTTGATTTATCCAGACAATGCATCACCCGTTCTATTTCTTCATTAATTCTAGCTTCTACTTTCTTTATATATACAGAAGCACTGTTTTCAGCTAAAAATTTCTGACTTTCCATCTGTGATTAAGACAAATTAATACTTTAGACTTTTTCTTTTTTAAAGGGGAAAAAGGAAACGTACTGGTTATTTCAGATCAGCATTGATAAACAAGTTCAAATCAAACCCAGCATGTCCAGCAAATGAGATCATTATGCCCCCAAGATTTACATACATGCTTAACACAAAATAAAGGTTCTGTTACACTAACTGTGTTATATACATAAGGGGGTACATGCGATACGAACATGGTATTTTTCATATTAAAACAACCTAAGCCAACCTAGTTTCCAGTTCCCAGCTAGAGTTTTAGCCACAGGTCCAAAGAAAACAGAAGGATAGGGAGAGAGAAGAGGCAGAGATTCCTTTCAAAATACCAGTTTATGGCCTATTTATGAGTTGTGAGGATCAACAGTTCTCATTATTCTCATTAGCGACAATGCCGAGCACGTTATTTCACGTCAAACTGTTTTTATCCATACTGGTCAGCATAGTCTTTCAGAGGAAATATGTATTTAGTTTTTGTTTTTCTGATTTTTTTTTGTTTGTTTGTTTTAAAGGCAGAGCCAAGAAATAAAACTTAAATGAAAGTAATTATTTTTCTTAATTTTATGTAGCAGCAATGAAAAACAGAATGCAATGACTTAAAAGGTTGTGCAACATATGCTTCTAATTTTCAAAGAAGTTTGGAGATCAGAGGATATGACAGGCATATGATCCAGCATAAGAGTTGGGAGACTGACAAATTATCTTATCTAGGTATCTTTTAACACGTTTTACAATTTCTATCAATTTCCAACAATAGAGGAGCATGAGTACACTCAACAACCGTTCAGCTGGCTTTTTTCCTAAAACTATCTCACAAACCCCCTCAGGAAACACTGAAAATGTGTTATTCAGTGGTTAGTCAACAACTGGATAGCCACTTGGATACACTTAATTCCTTGACTCGGTTCATTTTATTACAAAATATAACTCACGAATGTAGAAACTATGAAGGAAACAAAGCTTACTCAAAGGCAGTTTGACAAGTAGTCTCCCCTCTCCATTCCCAGCCTGAAACAGTTTGAACCTTTCATGCTACTGGTATTTCAAAAAGACTGTGGCTGCAACGCAGGGACAGACCAAGTTGCATGAAATAGCCCAAAGCAGGCACAAAATTAGCATAATGCTTACTTTACATGCTATCAGCACCCATATTTCAAAACTACATTCAGATTATGGTAATTCTGTAAAATTTGTGTTACTTCTTCCGCCAAGTTCGTAAAATCTTTTCTTATTTCATTTAACGAGATGGACATAGTCATCAAGTAAGTAGCAATTACTTAAAGTACCACCAATTCTCACAATTTCAAGCAGTTACAACAACATTCCAAATATGATATTACAACATTGCTGTACCTGAAAAAATTCTGCAGACATCTCCAAAAACGGAGCCTCAAAGTCTTCTTCATAGACTGACCTTCCTTCAAGACCTAGAATCATTAACATCTGGCAAGCATTTCTTATTGCGCCTCTGCCAAAAAGTAAGTTGTTAACAACTTGAGAAATCTACATGCTTGTAAGACAGAGTACACAGCAGAATAACAACTCAGAACATAGTATCAACTTAAATAAAATATAGTAATAGAAAGTCCATCCTAAATCTGTTTGGTACATGACAGGTTTTCAAGAAGATTACAGCAGCAAGATTGTTTGTTTCGTTCTAAACTAAGGAGCTGGCAACGTTTATTAAATATTTTAAATACAGTGATAGGGAAGCAGGTCTCAAGTTCTACTAACTTGGAAAACTATTAAGAATATATTTCAACATACAAGAAAATAACCGAAAATACTACTTGAAAGAAAACTGAAAACTGCACATGTAGGTTGGAATTGAGCAATTCAAAACAATTGCACAGATGGAAGTTGCTGTGCAAAGTTTGGGGTTTTTTGTTTGGTTGTTTGGGCTTTTTTAAAAACAACACAAAGTGAAAATGTATCAGCAAGTTAAGCATTTGGTTAGGCATAGAAACACATCAATAAAATGTGAAAACAAGAGAACTGCATCCAGGAAAAAATTCCACTTTCTGGCAGTAGGGGACAATACACAGCTGTTGCCAGGGAATATTTTTCTCTTTATAAATGGCGTGTTGGGCAATCTCAATCACAGAACCGCAGCCAAAGGAGCATGGAGTTTACGTATCTCCACACCAAACAGCTGCTCTGAAACTGGAGAAGCACAAGAAAACTTGCAAATTTGAAGTTACTTCAGCTGTAGGATCTGCAGCGTGTGGCACAAAACTCCACATCTACTAAACTAGCCGGAGAACACGAGGAACAGATTTAAAACCTCAGAGACGCAACTGAACTACCAAGAAACAGATGGATCAAAACATGAGGAAGGAAAATAGAATTAAAAAAGAAAACTTCAAAAATACATTAAAAAAAAAAACCTAACAGGTACAAGAAAATTAAACAGCCTCTCAGTACAGAGGAAATACAGGGTAACAAGAGGCAGAGAATTGCCAAAACTCCGCTTTATAACCAAATGCTCTGGCACAAGGTGGTAATGGAGAGATTTAACAAAAGTTTTAGTAAAAAACACAAGATAAATATTAAAAAAATAAATTAACGAGCTTCCCCACTTACCATTATGCTAAACCTTAACGTACAAAGAAGTATGTTATTCCAGATTATGGAGAAATTTTACTTGTCATCAGAAATGCAGCCTTAAATAATGATTTATTTGTGTATGTTCTTAATTCACTCTTAAAAATTGACAGGTCTTATTTACAACAAAAGACAGTCACTTACAAACATCTTACCTGTCTACAACCTCTCCTTTCCTTTCTCTTGCAATCATATCCAGCAGAGTTTGCCGCAGGTGATCCCTAATACAGCCGTAGCGTACAACTTGATCTCGAAAAATAATCAAGCCCAAATTGTAGACATTCTCCACGTTATTTTGTTGCACATACACACGGTCCTACAACAAAGGCATACACAGCAATAAAATTTTAAATTCGGGACACTCTTGCAGTTTTGAATAGCATGGGATTGGTCATATTTGCACTGTACAGAAATAATCAAATTCACCTTCTCTCCTTCCTTCATAAAAAGAAATTATGAATACCCTCAAAATTCAAAATCAGTCCCATTTTCCAAAATTTTATTTACATAGAAAGTCTACTTTGCTTAAGAGTGTAAGCACAGCATTTATGACTAAAGCATGCCAGAACAAATCTACAGCCTTGCCACTTTTTAGTTTGGGGGCAGGGGAATCTCCAAATACTGACAAAACTCATGGCACAATCTGAAAGAGGTTTTACTTATCTACTCAAACCCCTTCCATCCACCCCTTTTTGTTCTTTAAGAAAAATTAATCAATTTTTCCCCATCTCCCATGCATCTTCCTACCACTCCTTTTAGGCAGACAGTTCCCCCTCAATTTTCAGTGAAATTTCCTGAAATAGCATCATCAGATGAACAGAAGAAAAAGGAAAACCAAAATGAGAATAGTTACAATCAAAACATTTATGGATCGGTACTGCAAAATTATACATAAGGACTTCTGTTGAACACCCTCCCCCCCAAAAAAACTGACTTTCATTCAGCTTGAGCAAGTATCTTGAAACCTTGCTATGTTTCATTAAAATCACACACATACACACGGCCCCCCCCTCCAAAAAAAAAGAAAAGAAGGGGGAGACAACAAAGAATAATTTTTATGTTTCAATACAAGTTTAAATTCTATCTCCCGACACAGTCTCAGTCTATAGGAAGGATCAAGCTCCCCACCTATCCACTAGCCCTGCACTATGTATGTTTACAAATCGAGGCTGATCCTCAGAACAGTATTCCAAGTCCGTACAGCCCAACCACCACCACCACACAGGGTGGCTGAGACACCTCTGAGCAGACGCCCTGCGTTTCTTACCGCTACCCGCAGAAATGCTCCAAAATTTTGTCTCCCCTTTCCTATTCCTCTCTCCCAACTTATCAATTCTCTAGAAAAGAAAGACTATTAATAAAGTCACTAGCAGACAGAAATTGAGTGTATTCACTTAACAGTCCAGTAGTGCTGTACTGGGTAAAACCAGACCATTTAAGACAACATTAAGAATAGAAAAATAGTGAGTTTTTACAAACTATTTCTGAGATAAGCAATGATTTTTTTCTTTAAATTTCTGTCAGGGCATAATCCATTCCTCTAATGTAATGGTTTGGATAATTAATAAAAATACTGCTTTACTACCATTTAAGCTTCAGGATGATATTATTAGAAAGAGTTACAGAGTTTTATACCCACTCACAAATCTGATTGTGATAACGTTTTCTGAGAATTTACAGAGGTGTAACAAAATTAAAAAAAAAATCAAATTCTATAAAGGATAAAGGTCAATGTTTGAAATTCAGTATAAAGATTAGCTTCTCCACAGGTTCCATCAATTACCTTAAGTGCTTTACCACACTCAGAATTGAACTGTAAAGTTACTCAAACACCTAGAAAACAAAACTAAAAAAAAAAAAAAAAAATCATGCTTCAGACTACAGAAAAAAGACTACAAAAGTATAAGTTTATATAAATTCCACAATTACAAGAAATCAGAAGGAACAGACACCACACCCTTTAGTATTTTAGCAGCTGAATTTACATGGCAAAATTATTCGTATACTAATTATATGCCAGATTGCCACTTGATGACCAGAGGAAAGCGTTAACACCGGGTTCCACAATTCAGGAATGATTTCCCACTCACTCCCTTCAGACAGGCAGCACTTAATTTAAATGAAAAAACAAGATGGGAACAGGTCAGATATGCCTACTCTGTGGCTCATGAAGCAAGCTCAGTGCTGCCTCAAACCAAAACGTTTACTAATTGGTCTCATGAAGTCAGTTTAGCAACACATGGTGGTCTAGATCTCTGGAATACGTTACTCTAATTTTTTACTGTTATTTAGAAACAGGGTTATTTATTTCACTCCCTTATTTACACACTTGCATCAAGTACATAAGTAAATGTGATTCTAAAGTTAAGACCAGCTTAAAATACACGTTCAAAGAGATGAAAGAGAAAATTAAAAAGTAGTGTCTAATATGCCATATAACTTGAGGAGAAAAGAATGTATGCATTATTTCCAAAGAATATTCAGGCCTCTGAAGCACAGGCAGCAGGGTATCAAAATGGATTAAAGCCATGGTCATGACTCATCTGCACAGTTTCTGTTGTGGCAGTGCTAAACACTGCCATTATGAAATGAAATAGTAACTGCACTCGAAACTCTTCTCAATGTAACAGCAATGCCTCTTCAGTAAGCCAGACCACTCTGCAATACCCAAATTGGAGAGCACCATCAGTGTTTCCGATACTGCTGATTTGCTCATCCGCGGTAACAGATCACTTTTACTGTTTACTAGAAGCTCTCCCAACCTAAAAAGAATTATCTTAGAGGCAGGAAACCCCATTTGGGAACAGGTTTGACTGACAAGGCTACATGCTACTGAACAGCAATCACTTCCCACGGGGAGAAGCAGCAGGTGCTTAAAAGGTAAGAGTAACTCTCAGGAGACAAGGGTGGAGTTTCAGCCAACAATTATTCACAAACTACAGCGCTGCTTACGCTGCAGAATAATTCTGTTCTCAACTAAAGCAAGTTACCTACTGTAAAATATCACCAGCCACATTTTGCCCATCTCTGCATGGATGCACTAGCTGGATGATGTCGCCTTCAGACACCGTTGTGTATATATATAGCAAGTGTCTTTGATCCTAGTTCTGAAAATAAAACCAACACTTCTCTCTACTACCTTGTGCGTAAGCCACGAACGACAGTCATATGCCCCGAGGCCAAAACTCACATCGCCGATCTGTCAGTGCCGGCCTAAATCAAGACACTGGCCTTGTGCACCGCACAGATGAGAAGGGAATGCTCTGCCCTCTGCAAAATACACAGCTGTATTCCAAGAGTAATTGTTCATTTCTGACAGTGTCTAACTGGCACGACCCATATGCCTATAATGCAGCCAGGGGTGTGACTGCTGCGCTTGCATACCTGGAATTGCTTTAAATTTAAAAAGTACAAGTAGTGAAGAAGGGACACCACAGAATCCAATTTAGCCCAGTTTCCATAAGACGTTCCAAGAGTACTCGCGCTCACGTAGCTTGAAGACTGAACAACTGCACCTCCACTGCTCCTGTTACGTACAGTAGCTAAGTGAAAGCTGTTGTAGGTATGCTTACCTAAGCTGCAGCCACCAGCGAGACTGAATTTCAGATATGCCCAAACGCAGCACGTTACTTCACTACTTGAACATGTCTTAATACATGACTTGACTTAGTGAAGACGCTACTTAGGACATGACTTCACTGCTTCAGTGCCTCACTGCTTGCTGCAGACAGTGCCATGAATTTATGGAGAGTATTACATCTATTCTGGCACTGATTACTGTAGCCTAAACATGTGAAACAAAAGGAGGAGAGCTAGTGCACATATACTACAAAATACAATGGAACCATGTAAACTTGAAATTCAGTTGTGGAAACTGGAATATCTCAAGAAAGTTAGATTTGCCTTTATTGCGCAATTCCAGGTTGCAAAACCTTACACTAGAACTACATTACACAACAGACCTGAAACCAAGCAGACTTTTACAAGACAGCACCATGACACAAGAGTCAAGGTAATACACTTTTTTTAAAATGCAACTATAAGGTAAACTTTACAGAGTGTCTTGTGGAAGAGGTTCTGCACATAAAATGAAATTCTGCCATAAACCTCAAACAGCAAGTAACCTAGTCATTAAGTATCACGACAATGCACAAACCCCATTGTACAAAATATATACCTTTCTAAAAAAGATCCTATTGAATTAATTTTTATTTTAGAAGTGGCAAAATTAAACAGAGGAAAGAGATTAAAGTGGGTTCGAGAGCTGTTTGTTTTGACTTAGATCATATGGGAGCTAATAGGTGAAAATAAGCTGGGAAACAAACATGGCATAAAGACAGGTACAGTTTAGTTTAAGATGTACAATCACTAGGCTGAAGCAAGAATTTAAGAGAGTAAGATCAGAATTCAAGAGGATGTTAAATGTTTTACTTTCACTGACGTCAGGCTGGGGCTTGTTGGGTACCAACAGGTACATTTCCTGAAACTGATGGGTAAGTAATTGGGATGGCCTACAACATAAGAGGAGAAGGATTGGATTATTTATTTATAATATATTATAATTGCATATACTTCTCCTGCTGGAACACAAGCATATCAATTAACAATGCCCGGTGACTGAATTTATACAGTGTTTGGTTTTTTTAAGATATAATTTACATTAAAAAATATTAGCTGTGCTTGAATAAAAAGGTATAAACAACTCCTGACATAAGCATATCACTGTAAAACTACATTTCATTCAGACTCAACATCATAAAAGAAGAACGAATCACTCCTTATCATATAGAGTTCTTGAAAATTGTTTCTTTGATGAGCAGTCAGGTCTCATCTTTGACAGATGTTCCTCCACTCTATAATTCTGTGGTACTAGCAGCTTTTTCAAGCTTTTTGAATTAATACATACTTAAGACTATAAGTTTCCCGCTCTTAGTCTCTTTCCAATGAACAGAATTATGTTTCACTCAACAGGACAACCCAGTGACAAAGGTGAAACTGGCAATCTTTGAGACTAGTCCCACTTTAAACCATAGCTTATGCTTTAATTTGTAATCAAAGCATGTATCTTCTAATGACAATTTGTCTTATGCCCCTCCAAAGAAAAGGAGGGAGTCTGCCCATTGTATCAGCTCCTTGCATTAGATAGAACTATCTGATAGAGATTAATTTTATAATAATAAAATATATGTGTATATTTTATATACATGTATAAATAAAATATACATGTATATAAAATATATGTATATATTTTATATATAATATATAAACATTATAGAAGTTTAACAAACAGACATCAGTGCTGTTAAAGTTGAGAAGGTTATAAAAGCATTTTGAAAATTTATTACATGTTTACTATTATACTATAAAAATATTTTATTGTACATGTGTCTTTTCTGTTTCTTTGGGTCTCATTTTGGTACAAGGAAAAAAGCCTACGGGAGGCAAATAATTAGTCAGGTGGAGGCCTCAACTGAACACCCACTTGAAATAATTAGGAACTGTCAAACAGCACATGAAAGACTATATATTTCAGAGGTATTCAAATTTATTTGTTTATTATTCTGTTCTGAATCTAAACTATAATCCAATGAAGTCCAATTTGCACTTGTAGGAATGCTGCAGGTCTCGATCTTCTGAAGTTTTGATGGAAACAGAGAAGGCTGGCTGTCTGTTCTAACAGCACTCACAAGCTTCAAACAAAAGTCAAGGCATTGCCCTCCTGAGCACAAAAAATACTTGAGAAACAGCTCTTATCTCCCCCCAAAAGTGGTAACTGAAGCATGTAACCCTTCCTCAAAGAGGGGACTTCTTGGTCCTCAATATACTGGTCAATACACTAAAACAGGAACAGCTGATAAACCAGCTCTCTCTGACACTGAGGGATCAAAGATTTATTGAATTTAAGAGCAGCAGATAACATTGCATTATCCACTCTGACCACCTATGTACCTTGGAGCATCCAGCACCTCCTGTACTGAAATAATACATAGTATTTAGCTAAAACACAACAGCTACTCCCCGAGAAAGCTCTGGATTCCATCTTCTAACGTTTCTGAAAATTCACCACTAGCTTTGGTAGATTATTCTAATTGTTAACTATTCTCGAATTTGCCCAGATGCAGCTAGCAGCAATTGATTTGTATTTGTCCTTCACAAATAGATTCCAGGATTTTTCATAGCGAAGACAGTACAGCTTCAAAGCAATCTCTCAATCTTCCTTTTGGCAAGATAAGATACACAGATCATTAACTGTCACTGAAGGCATTTTATCCACCCCTCTATCTTTAGATACGTGGTCTTTTCCCAACTTAAAAAACAAAAACAAAACAAAACAACCCCAAAACAACCCACCACACAAAACTCACAACATGAAAGCCAGTAAATCCATTAAAAAAAAAAATTAAGCTATGTGGCTACAATAATTATTCCAAATTCTTTAACTTTTAGTAGCTTATTAACCAAGTCGGATTTCTTCACAGCTAATACAAACAGGTTCGATTTCATAGCATGAGATCTTTAACAGCTACAAGATAAGATTTTAACTCCAGTTGTTCAGCAGATAGAGTATAATCTCAGTTAATCATCTTTGTGACAAAAAAAAAGGCGTTCCCATTATCTGTCCTTCACTGTCTAATACTGCATAAAGTACTATCTTCGGTATGATATTTTGGAAAAAAATTATTTTACATAAAACCCCCATAGTGTCTCACATATTTCTTTTCCTTCAGAAGTTAAAGCCTTTGGCTAGAAGCTATGCAAAAATATACTCTCCTGCACCCTCAGAACATGCCCACCATTCTGGGAATTTAAACATATACCAACTACCTAAAGCATAACACAACCCAAACACTAAAATGTAAGGCCCTCTCTCTTCAAAAAAGGCCTTTTCCGTTAGCTATCAGGTAAGGAATGCTTTTCTTTTAAAATTACAACCACGCAACCAAAGATCAAATTCTCATCTATGTTCACTGCTTGATCTTGTACCCAAGCTCTATATGAGCGGCAAAGGATTCAATCAGAATTTAACATTCAAGGACACAGACTGTACCTAAGCAAAGTTATCCTCCTCAAGCCCTTAAGCTTAAAGAACAACTACACTGCAAGTTTGAGGCAGCTTTACACCACCACACTTTCCACAGTAAGAAACCACCACTACGTGAACTAAAACATGCAAGTAACATCTATGACCTGCCAGAATGGGTCTGACCAGCTTATTTGTTAAGAATTGCAAAATTCAACCATTTTTCAGATGCATTTTTCAAGTGATAATGAGATAACCTGAAAGAAGAATCCAATTACAATTTGTCACGCACCCGTAAGAATCTTGCATGCACACAGGGAATTCAAAACAAGGGACAGACAGTAGTCTTAGGAAGAAGACTGATAAGCATGCCTTGCTTTTTACCCCTCCAGCTCATTTGTTTACATTTGCCAAGAGACAAATTTACTACATCGAGTTAAGTGTGTGAAAAAGTGGAATACCCACCATATACATCAGAATGTCTCTAATCATCACCATCGCCGTTTGATGATCATTCCATGCTTGGTTTAGTGTTTGTAGAAAGTTGTTATTCAAGGAGTTTAACACATCTTCTCGCACCTGAAGCAAGAAAAAAAAAAATTGTCATAAACCCAAGTCAGTTTCTGCTGCGTCATTTAAATCTTAACAAGCTTTGCTTCAAAAAAAAAAATTCTTGCTCCTCTATGAATTTGAATATGACAAACAAGTTCTTGCTTTTCCTGGGTGCTGACCATTCCTGCCTTGTATTTCACTTCTGTGGAAAAATAAGACTTCACACAAATAAGAAAAATCAGGCTAAAAACAAGAGCATCAAAATAAACGTGGATATTAAATTTCAAACGAATACCTGAAATCTCAAATGTTAAAAATATTTTTTTACAATTCCTCAAAGGTTTACTTTCTTATGCTATGGTGTTTCAATTAATGTTAATTAAAACATTAAAAAATTAATGTTTACTATCACAAGTACCTTCAGAATATTGGGTAGTACTGCTAAATGTTACCAACAGGACCAAGTACAGGTGGAAAATTGGCCACGATGACATTTAGAAAGACATGCTGAGATAGCACAAAGTTACAGCAAACAACAGTTCTGAAAGGAAACAATCACTTTTTAAAGACCAGACTCTTATACTAATAGTCCATAATCGCCAACAACAAGACTCCGGAGAACAAAAGAAAGTCATCATTTTTACAAACATATTTGCTAGTTGATTCATTTGTCCCATCAACTTCAGGCTTGCTTTCTTTTTGACACTACTCCTCCCTACTAATAAAAAAAGAGCATCCAGTTTCATATTTTGATTTTCATGCAGTAGGCGTACGCTACAGTGCTCAAGCTTTAAACTCATGTAAAAGAGAAACCTGAGTGAACGTAAAAAAATTATTCCAGTTAACAAAATGTGTGAATTGACTTTTGACATATGTCGTGGAGGGGGGGGGGGGGGGAGTGAGCGAGCGGCTGCGTGGTGCTTAGTTGCCAACTGAGGTTAAACCACGACAACATAACATGCAGAATACATTCTGCCCTCTGTTGTAACCGAACAGAATGTATTTTTACATTTTATAGGTTTGCATTTACACTTGCGTGACGGTGTAAGTTTCAGAATAGAGAATTCAAACAGGAAAACAAAACACATGACAAGCAGCCACAAGCTGCACCAACATCAGATGCAACCACCTGACAGACTTCATTCTGTCATTTAGGTTTTACGAAGTTATTAGGCAAAACCAGCATAACAAAAAAAAAAAAAAATCACCGTCTGCCACACTACTATATATACTCCATAAACTTAGATGAGCAAACCAGAAACATAGCATGGCATGTCATACGAACACAGTGGTCTCTTCTCAAGAAGCTGTGGAAACTTATCTCCATCATATTCACCTTGTTATTGAATCTAGGTAATACAGGCATGCTCGGAGGTTGTTCAAAGCTTTCCGAAATCTTCAAACACCTACTCCCCAGACCTGAGCAAGGCCTCTCCTCCTTGCTTTTGAAAAACACAATATGCAGTTATAAGTCACAACCAGCACTGCTTAGCTGCCTCATTCTTTCTGACAGCGGTCATCATTTACCTTTTGGTCTCCCAAACGTGTGCCCTGTTGTCATCCAATCTATGCAGTATTTAGGTAAAATGGCAACACGCATTAAAAACTTCACCAGCTGTACTTGTAAAGAGTACGCAGAATCTCCCAGAACATGAGAAACAAACATGACATGGTTGCTTTCACTTCTTTAATCAATATGGAAAAACACTGGAAACATTATTTGGTAGATCACCCACACCAGTAAAATTTACCAAAGCAAAACTAAAAGCATGATTAGTTTACAAGAACAGATAACCAGGGTAGGGATTGATCAATTTTACCCAAGCGTACGAGGCCATCACAGAACTCTTCAAGGATCAAAGATTTTTTTTTTTTGTTTTAATTTTTTAACAACAGAGGCAGCGTGCCTTTATAATTACACACATCTATCACAATAATCCTACTAGACCAGCCATTGCCAAATCACATATCAAATGGTAGCAAAAGGGGGTGCTTGCCACCAGGTAGCAATGACGACTTGCTTCCAAGCAGACACGGGAACGCTCAGATCTGTGCCACCTCTGCTCCCTACAGTATGCCATCTGGCTTTCTGGAAATGTGTTTTAAATCCAGGAATGGGTACTGTACAACAAAACTACTCAAAGAGTCTCTCTGTGAAGTTTCTCGGTTACATCCTCCTAGGTTTATTTGCAGCTGCAGACAGGTTTGGGAAGCCGTGCTTTTAGTTGCTACAAAAGCCAACCAAATTATCACTTAAAACAGCTGTCTAGTCAATAAGTGTTGAACACATTCCTTGTATGGGCCATGAATACAACAGTATTACAGGAAAACTACTATAATGCACAGAACACCTTCGCCATGCAAAGGCGCAGAGTCAAACCACTTTGGTGGAATAAATGACTTGTAGTAAAAAAACCTGGATATCCACACTCTTCTATAGAGAAGGAAGCCCTTCAGAGACACAGCTGCTGCTCTTCCAAAGCCTTATAAAAATTTCAATCTCAAAGATTTTTACCAGCAGAATGTTACTTTAAATTAGCTGAGCTTGTAGTAATTCCAATGACAACCTTTGCAGTTATGCAGTAAATTGGCAGGCATATCCAGCTTAAACAGGACTGCCCATACACAGTTTCAAAAATAAATTAGCAGCTTCATTATCTACATAAGGTCTTCTTATATTTGCAAGGATGAAATCTTGCATATAACTTCAGGCTCAACTGTATTTTATACTGGATATAGCTCTGAAGGAATTATATCACCCTCCCCTGCCAGTCTCTTAAAAAGTTTGTTGGCATAAGCTTTCAATACCTTTAAATAACTCTCTATTAAGTGTACACAAAGCAGACTTATGGCCTAGCGTTTTCTCTCTCACAGTGCCTGGCCTGACGCAGCAGCACGAATAGTTCAATTATGTAATTTCCACTACTGTAAGGACAGCCAGAACCTTCTGCGGGGAGCAGCAGTATAGAACGGCACTTTCTGAACTAAGGCCTCAAGGTCTCAGAACTTCTGTTACGGAGTTTCTTCATCTTCTACTAAAGTCCAAGTAGTCCAATAAATAGTATTCTAAAATCTCAGAGTTCCAACTAAGTTAACAGATTAACTATGACTTTACCAGGAATGTCTGTTCAGCCCTGCAGCTACTATCCTTTTGCTGAAAGGAAAAAAAAAACCACCGAAGAATATTGATGATTCTGAATTGCGTTTACTTTCTGGCAATTCCCTCACCAGGAATTGCCCTCCGTATGATTGCAGACTGGCACAAGATCATCTTAAAACATCATTAAGGAAAGATAAAGGCAGGTAACACTTCATATATTGTCAGTAAGGCTTACAGTACACCCTAACGCTCACTAATTAATTTGTCTCCTACATGACTCCTCATGTCATTCCTCCCTATTTCATAGGTGTCACAGAAATAATTTCCAACTCCCTGTAGGAGATTCCTATCTTCTCTCCCCCCTTCTCTCTGTGACACCACGATAGCAAATTTTAAAGCTTGCCAAGGATCCTAGACATACCTTTATAAGCCCCAGAGTAGACATGCTTGCTTCACCCCATTCCTTCTGCACCAGCACCCCATAGAATTCCTTCTGCACTTAACAACACTGCCACAATGACTGGCTCTGCGCGCCCCTTACCGAAGGCTTTCTTGCATGCCTGCCTTTATTATTATTCTGAAATAGCATGCACTGTCGCTACCGAACTCCACCAGTTGTATCAGCAAAGACCACCATGTGGTAAGGCATTCTGGCATGCCAGCAACAGACAGTAACAGAAATGTTTGGTACGACCAAGAAATCTTACAGGACGTGAGAATATCCCCAGCATCTCTTCCTTTTCAATAATGGTCTAGTATCTCCCCAAACCAGCACGTTTCAGCCCATTTAAGTTTAGGACAGTCCTTTACATCTCTCTGATGTACACTGCACAGAAAAACCAACATAACTGTATTGTACTTGGCCAACAAATGAATCAATTCCTTTGTCACAAACACACAACTTACAGAATGTATATGATATGTTGCATGTCACGGGTTTAGATTTCACTAGGCTATGAAGCGTTCATAAAAATGAAGGGAACTTTAAAAATATCCTGCAAACTTTTTAACTTCAAGATTTTTTTTATTCTAACACAAGTGATGTTGCTTATCATCAAATGGTTTAGAGAGCTGTAACTAAGCTTTGTGTCTTTGTTTTTTAAAAACACTTTTACAACATTTGTGTGAAGAAGTAACAGACTAGGCTCAAGAAGCGTGAAGGAAGAACGTCCACATCAAGCTACAAGATTGCCAAAGGACAAGGGAGAAATCAATGAAGTACCAGATGCACAAGAATTAAATGCTTGAATTAAGATGAAAGGTTTCAGTACTTTTTATTCAACGGTATTTTTAAATTCAGTTCTACATGTACTATACTTTAACAATGATGTCAATACACAGGCAAAGACAAGTTTTAGCATGTCCTTACCCTGTAGTAAAAACAAGGCAGTTCAAGACAGCTGACTCCTGTCAATGATGCAGAGTAAGCTACCTGGCTTACTACTGCCTTCATCAAGCAGCCAGAACCTGGTGACTGTAACTACAAGACATTAGGGTCTGCAAGCTCAAAACCAAGCATACTTTATAGTAACTTGCTTGCATGCTTGTATCTTGTATTGATCATGTGTGCACCTATCATTTTATTTACAATTGAACAGGCTGTAAAGACAGTACACGGTATTATGTTTTCTTGTTGAGAAGTTAAATGATTTTCTTCTTTAAAGTGTTTGGTTTCTTTCTAATAAAAATGCTGAGTAAGCACAACCTTCATCTAGCAATTAAATAAGCATAAATATAGCTCTTAACTGTGCCACACCAAAAATAAAAACTTTCGCTTTCCAAGCTTGAAAACCATTTGTAAAAACATCTGAACAAATACATTGCCTCTACCTAGTCTCTTCATCTACTCTTCATTAACCAGCATGACTGGAATACTACAGGAATGAAACTTTTTCGTGGAAAGATAACCAGCAGATGTGGACAGCAAATGGCAATTCTGTTTCAAGGATTCTAGCAGTTCAAAATTTGGGTTTGGCTCCTCAGAAGCACTCCCTGAACTGAGTGCAGTCCTTTACTAAAATCTATTCATTTCTGCACATTTTCATTTTGATAAAGTTAACAGATTTCATGAACAACATTTCAGTTGGCAAAATCCCCCTCTTCTAAACTCTAGCATCCACCATCGATTCTCTGAATAGAAGTCCACAACAACTTGTGATGAGAGCATTTATTGTTAATTAGCTACTTAACATTTAACAGAGAACTGCTCTTGGAAAGAGGCACTGAAAATACAAGATTCCTCTAAAATTTCTGTTACAGAAAGTGTGAGGTTGAACAAAAACTTCTTTTTATCTATCGTACAACAAGTACTAATGGCACAATCATAAGATGCCATTATAGAACTGATCCTATTCTTAGTAAACAATGCACTATTTTTTCCATACTTCCATCTATAATTGTGTCAACATAACATCCTTAAGCAAATCATGAAAAAGGACAACGAGTAGCTTTGAGCCTACAGAAGTTTTCTTTATTGTTCAAAACTTTTTGACAGATGTCACTTTTTTTTTTAAAATCTTTTCCTGGGACCGTTTAATTTATAGGACAGCATCATCAGACATCTGAATAATTTAGCCTTTTTAACCTAACAACATTTAACTACTAAAACTCAGTAGTTAGCCTTTTTATTTGAAAAACTTTTGGTCATCTATTTTTATGTTACCTGTACACACAGATATAATTTGATTAATCACATTAAAGATCAGAATACTAGATCACTGGAGAAGATTTTTTTTTTTTTTTAAGCATCAGATAGAATAGCATTAATTGTCAGAAAGGCATTTCTCTACACTGGTATCTGTGCAACCCTCTCAGCCAGTGCAGCGACACATACTCACAGGATCTTCTGCTCTTTTGTCAGTTTGCCACAATCAGCACTTCAGCATAATTAATTTTGCATATGGATAATTTTTAATATGCAGAATAGCTAGGAACAAAGATAAGAAGTTTTCCTCAAATTAAACCAGGATAAACTAAAGCCTAGGAAGAATAAAAGTTTAGTGTCATGATTATTATTAAGTATAGACTTTTACAGTCTATAGGCATATACAAGAACAAGGCACAAAAAGGCTCAGCCATTTGCTGCATTTTATATGAATACTACAGATTATGAATGCACAGATTATGAAAACAGAAGTGCTTGAGAGTCACAGATGTGCTACAATTCTAGAATAGAGCCATAAATTATTTAGCCACTTCATACAGGATGTTTCCTCTCGTGCGAACAGTAAAAAAGCCCCATATTCAAAGCAGTTTTAGACTCTACTTGTCTGGACCACACCTTTGAAAAATAAGATTTTAGAAAAGAAAAAACACCCTGCTCTGCCACAGCAGTAACTCCAGTTAGAATGCACAGAAAGCTCCCCAAGCATTATGCATTATTTAGAAAAAAACCACCTCCCATCCACTCTGTAATTCAGCCAGAAGTAATCATCCAAGACACACGATGGTGTATGACTTTCCTTTTCAAACGTTGTAGTAACAGGACCCACAGCCAGTATACGGGATCAATGCAGACACGCGTCTCTTTTCAAAGATAGGCAGCTATGGATGTTACTGCAAGGGGTAAGTAAGGCATCTTCCCTAGACTTAGGATCCCATTACCACTAAATATTACCTGGACTCACAAAAAGTGAGTTTTAAGTTTTTTTCAATGACATACTTATTAATCAACCCTAAACATTCCTCACAAAGACTGAAGAGGTGGTTCCATGGTTTAACATGAGATGCGAAGAGCCCTTTTCTCAGATGATACATCTTCAGAAACAAGAAGTTTCTGCATGTCATTTTGACTGAATTACATGGTTTTGAAAAGGCTGAAATGATAGAATGCAGACTACTCAGGACTTTTGTTGTTGCTGAGCTGATGTTTTTATACATTGCCTACCGCCTCTTTAAATAGCATAATCCTAGCACAACTCTCTCATTAACTTGTGAATTAGTTCATTAGCCCATAACAAACAGGTTCTTACACTGGTATTTATTTTGTTCCACAGATGAAAAAACTGACTAGAAAACAAGCCAAATTTTGTTCTGAGAAAGTCACAAAATGCCACCAAAAGGCCACAAACCTTTTTTAAAAAATTCCCAGCTCTCAATGGTTATGCTTCAGCTAAAGTTGTTTCCTGTTATAGACTTTCAAATACTTCCGATGGTCTGCCCTCCATCAGTAACTTAACAACAAACAGTATCTGGAATATGAAGTCATTTAAGCTTGATGCTAGCTCTAAGCTACCATTTTTGAGGGTAGCACGACAATGTCAATACAATGTAACATAACAAAGTTAGATTTTTTGTCATTTACATAACTATTGAGAATTCTTTCATATAAGACAATTTTAATTCATAAAAATGACATACCTTGTTTATTAGATGCTCGGTGACCACTTCTCTTAGTCCAGTGTAGAGTTTTTCGCCATGTTTATGCAACACCATTGTATATGCATTCCTATACAGCTCCTCAAAACTCAGACCACTATTGTTCTTACGCTGGATCTCTTGGATTGCATTTTTTAGAAGATCCCAAATGCTGTTCACATATTTCTCGTCCATAGTCATCTGTAAAAATAAAACAACACATTATTGTTTAAACCAAGAAAGTTCACTACAGAAAGTTATCTTTAGAAGTTGTAACTCCAGAAGCAGTGATTGCTTCTGCCACATTTTGTTGATTCCATTATCACAAGGTTTCTCAAATTTTGTCGAAAGAAAAACAGTATTTATGAAACTAGTAGGGATTTCAAGGAATAGTTATGAGAATTATGAGATTTGTAAAAATGTAACGCTTTTCTTCTTCAGAGCTGCAAATCCACAGAAGCCAACTCCAGAGCCTGTGCAGGTGGGAAGGCAGGTAATCGTGGACATGGGTCTCTTCCCTACTCCTCCTCCACAGTGTTAACAATGATAGTCACTTAACTTTCCTCCCATACTAACATGCTACTTGGCACCTCATAAATTGTACTGCAACACTCATCTGCTTAACCAGACCCCAAATCAACTTGTACAATAAAAGATAATAATGTCTGACAGAGAGTTAGCAAGCTTACTTAGTCATCTGCTTGAGCTAACTAGGTATTCTTTATTTACAGCAATGTACTAATGGCCAAAGAATTACGTGCCTACAATTTAAATACTTACAGGTGTTGTTGAAAAACCCCACAAATGTCCAAAATTAACATCTGTATTGAACATATTTCTATTCCACAAATACGGTTAAATAACTTGCTACATGATGTGCATCAAGCACTACGCAGAATAGGCATCCGCCTGATCTGTTATTCAGACACTACATACTTCAGTAAAAACACCAAGTAAAAACTAGAGCAATAAAGAAAAATTCAGAGAAAGAGAGAAACTCTTACAAGAAATAGTCTCAATATAACAGCAAACCAACTTTTGTCCTCTACTATCTAGTGCTTAGTGTGAATCAGTTTACAATTGTGCTTTACCAATGCAAAGGTCCTTCAAAATGTGATGGTTTATAGATAAAGCAGTATCTGGGATGGCGAGTAAGTGTAGCAACAAAATATCAGATGTCAGTATTGCTTCAAGTTTGTGATTTAGCCAAGTTTCATCACCCAACTGAAAAACCCCCACGCTTTTTAATTGAACTGAATTTAAAATGCAATGTTTAAAGTTGTTTGGTTTAGTTTATACAAAAAGGACCTGATCTAGCATTTTACATCTAAAGAAAACGGCTGAAAAGAGGAAAAAAGGCACTATTCCCAGAATTACTGTGGAGAAAGAAAACATCCCTGAGTCTACCAACACTGTCAAAGCAGCCTTGAAAATAAGAGCTGAAAGTAGTAAGAGGGTAAAGAATAATGGCATGACATTATAGAGGAAAATCATGACCAGCTCTGGTCTACCTCTCTTCTCCCTCTCCTTCCACCCAAAAACCACTAAGTGAATAGAGGAAAGACATGGAAGACTAGATTTGCCTGCATTTGTAATCAAACCCACACAACGATTACCAGAACTTTTCTCATTAAAAGTACATTTTTACATGCAATTTCAAAATATCAAGTTTTCTAGGCGCTGTAAATAAAAGTACAGCTCATAATGAGGGTAAGCCATTCACTGCCTTGGGAGGGAATGGGCTGCTGAACAAAATCAAAACAAGACACATCCTCCATCCTCCTCGTCTTTTGGAGTTTTGGTTAAATACAAAGATTTTCATGATAAAAATAATCCTATCGTTTTTTTTTCCCCCACTCTCCTGATACCAGACGTACTAGCCTACTAATCTATATGTACCCAAAACTTGAGATATGTGATTGTATGTCTAAAACCAAAAAAGTCACAAACACATTCAAAAATTCTTAGCTCCCTATCTCCCAAACCCAAAACCTCAAAGTAACAGAGAAATGGTGGAATGTGTCGTCCCTCCCCTGCTTTTTTCTTATTCTGCTATGTATGATATCAAAAGGTCAGTTATTTTCTTTTTAATTCGCATTTACTACATTGGTGCCTCTTCAGGGAAATTATTTTCTAAAGCCTTCCTGAACAAGCAATTTTACAAGTACTGATAGTGAAGGCAACCATTTAGAATTGCAGACAGCAATCCAAGTAAAAGCTTTTCAGTTTTCCTTTCAAAAAAAAGTAGTTTTGTTTTAAAACAAAGCATAGACCCAAACCAACACTTCCCAATGCCATTTTCTCCCCTTGCTAATCAAAAATCTCCCAGCCAACATGCCAACCTTTTTATCTCAACTGCAATTTAATTGCTCACTATATTTAAAAAAAAAGTATGATCTGTATAAAACAGGGAAATCACCAGCTGCTGGTTTGAAGAGGTATTACAGCATTGCTGTTTCTGGGCTGGTCAGCCGGTAAACATTTCTGTATGTTAGAGATAAGCAGTACATCTAGTAATTCGGATCTGTTCAAGAAAAAGCTAGAAGTGAACCGTTTTTTTCTTCTACTTTTAATCCAAACACTATAAAAAAAATGCAGGAATGATTGTAACATTTTTTGCTCCAAACTCACTGAACACAAACATGAACACAGAGCTTTCTGCCACTTAATTGACACACCACAAGCTGCTCTGGAAGCACAAGAAAGAGCCATAAAAGGTAATTTTAAGGAGTATACATCTCCATGGGATAAATATACAGAAATATTTGAAATAGTATTATAAACTTATTACCTTTTAAGATTAAGCATGAAGGACTACTTCTCAGTGCAGCTTCTTATTCTGCTACTGACTGACTTTAGATTGGTATCCGTGAGGTTTTGTAGGAACAGGTTTGCTAAAGTTCTAGGATATCAAGTTAGAAGAGCACTGTCTTCCAAAAAACATCTAGCGTAGCTAGCATGTTTGCAGCAGTGTTTTCTAACAAAGGAAAGACTCCTAATACTTTAAATAACTCCACTCTGTTGGACAGTAAGTCACTGGCAGTAAAGCTTTAGCAAAAATTTATTATTTCCTTTCCACTGCTGAAAAGTTGTTTAGCTTTTGAACAGAAGAGGTCTTCCTGTATCATTATCCTCAAAGTTATTTAAGAATCGCAATGACTAAATCTACCCTTGGCTTATTTAACTTGCAGGTTCATCTCTTTTCATCTCCCTTAAGTCAGGCTTGTACACAGATTTAAAAAAAAAACAACAAAACAAACAACTAAGCAATAACAAGTTTGTGATGCTACTAGAACATTTTTGCATCTTTCAGAATTCTGTACAAAAGCATCTCTAAAAACACTAGCAGAGAAGTGTGATCCTAATCCCCCAGTCTGACCCAACAGTGAAGATTTATGCAACTCTCTAGATCCCCATGAACAACAAAGCCTGTAAGTGATCCACGTCCACACATATGAATACAGGACCAGAGCCCAAATTTTTTTCCATGCTCATTCCCAGATTTCTTCTAATGGTTATGTTTTAAAAGTGAACTCCACAGATGTAATACAGTTGCCTTGCTTGTGCCTTCTATTCTTGCAGATTTAAGCAGAAGCTAGATTACTGCTTCTGCTGGTGCTTTGGGGGGAAAAAAAACAAACCAACCAATCACCACAGGTTCAGAAAAGATTTCAGAAGCAAAATCCCAGTAATTTCAGTAGTGTTTACACCCAGATTCACCAAGACCGTAAGAAGCCAATGTCCAAAGAGAGGAAGTGTGTTAATGCACTCCAGTTTATCTGAACATTACCTTTCTTGGGGAATGGGAGATCAAGTCTGTTATTGGCAGGAGAGATAGCTGTTTATAAGAAGCTGCTAGTTGGAAAGCTTCCACAAACCACTGCCCAAAGGCTAATGATTCAAAGATGCAACTTGAACACAAACATCTGAACTCAAAGCGTAGCAGAATTACATCTTGAGGAAATTAGACTAAAATATCAGTGTACATGAAAGTGCAATCGTTTTACCAAAAAAAAAAAAAAAAAGAAAAGTCTGCAAAGGACTCAAAAGGTCCTTTATTCCACAGTACTGCCACAGTGCAGGATCAGATACATGCAAGCCCTTTCTTTAACAATGTTTGTCTATCCTATTAGAAAACTCCAAGACCGAATAAACAATCATTGTCAGCAATCGATTGCCACTATCACCTGAAAAGCACGACACCAGCATGTAAAGCTAGTAACAGTCCCGAATATACTTCTCAGTGTCTCCCTCCTAGAAGCTAACACTACAGACACCACCTCTTTTGAATAACTTTATCAGCAGCCCTTAAATCAAAAGGGGCAAACAGCTAAACTCCAGTCGTTTTGGCATTAACACATCACTTCGCACAAAATATTACCATCTCCCTTCTGGTCACGTAGTTCAAAGGGAAGTGCGACATCCTGTCCCCGGGGAGGAACAGCCCCCTGCATTAGTACATGCTGGGGCCAACTGGCCGGAACGCAGCCTGGCAGAAAAGAACCCGGGGCTCTCGGTGGATATCAAGGTGACCAATGGGCCCTTGAGGCAAAGAAGGTTAATGGTATCCCGGACTGCATTTGGAGGAGTGTTGTCAGCAGGTTGAGGGCTCTACTCAGCACAGGTGAGACACACGTGGAGTACTGTGTCCAGCTCTGGGCTCCCCAGTACAAGACAGACGTGGACATACTGGAGAGAGACCACTGAAGCGCCCCTAAGATAACTGACTGGAGCACCTCTCATATGAGGAAATGCTGAGAGAGTCAGGCCTGTTTAGCTTTGAGAAGCCTCGGGGGATCAAATCAATGTATAAAATACCTAAAGGGAGGGTGTACAGAAGAGGGAGCCAGGCTCTTTTCAGTGGTGCCCAGTGACAGGACCAGTGGCAATGGGCACAAACTGAAACACAGCAGATTCCCTCTGAACATCAGGAAAACTTTTTTTACTGTGAGGGTGACCAAGCACTGGCACAGCCTCTCTGGGCAACCTGTGGAGTCTCCATCCTTTTAGATACTCGAAAGTCATCTGGATACGGTCCCGAGCAACTGGCTCTAGGTGACCCTGCTTGAGCAGGGGCGGGGTTGGACAAGATGACCTCCAGAGGTGCCTTCCAACCTCAATCATTCTGTGATTCGGTGATACACATTACAGCTGCACACTGAGGAAGCCAGAAAACCAGGGCTCCCTGAGTAAGCATGACCTATTAAAACTGCCA